ATTTATTCGGAAATGCCAACCGACCGGTTACAGACCATTAAACAGGGGAGCATCTGTTACATCTTAGTTGCAGCTTAGTTACAAAAACTGGACACAGATCTTCTCCCGAATGAGTCTTCCTAGAGATTCATTGCCACCACTCATTCGTCGGTCAAATCCAAGCAAATGTTACAAAGTGGCCCCACGAATTCCGCAACAGAATTCCCTTTTTCAATCGACGCAAAGCGAAATTCTACGAACAACGCATACTACTCGCGTGCCTCCCTAATCAGTAGTATCACCGTTACACCGGTACTTCGACGCCGACCTGAATCCCTACTATCTTATTTGGACAACTGTTTATCCGCGTTGGTGGCTAATGTACGATCCGGAACTCGTAGGCAGGATTGCAACAAATGGAGAACGCTTGGTCTGAAACGTTCACTTATGTGAGGCAACTGTCATTCTGTTACACTGGGAAACTTCGTGAACTTTCCAAACTTCTTTGGACGTGATAGGTTTATATTATTAACTCTGAATCAGCGCCAGTAGCCTGGTTTCCAGTTCTTATAAAATCTTGTGAAACACAAGACAATTAATTATTGTTTACGCCAAAGAATACAAAGGTCAAGAAACAAATAAACCCACATGTATCAGCCCGGCTATCATCTGCTGTCTGCGGGGACGCGTATGGCGAACTTGGAAATATGACCGGTTGGATACAGCAACAGAAATACGTTCAAGGACATTGTCTTCCGTTTGTATACAGTGCGCTTGGATTCACATTCATGAGGAAGCTTAACCGAGACACTTAGTTCCATGTATTTCACCGTGGAGGATTTTGAAATGCAAAGCTCATCAACAGCAAAAGAGAAGAGAGGTGGTTAAGCCGTTGTATTGTTTTATCTTAACGGTGACACTAACTGACAGTGATCGGTCCTGAGAGCGACGAACGATTATATGAGCTTCCGACGTGCCGCATATACAGCTGGGCACTGTCATCAGCACACTAGCACTTGATGCAGAAATCTAGATATGTTACGACTATACAAATGAAGAAATGATAAGATTCCCGCGGATAATACCGCGGGAGTGTGAATGCCCAGACTTGTAAATTGAATCCAGTTGGTGAAACGATTTTGAAAAATCCGGACGAGAACTACCTCATCACCACTCAGAGAAGTCTCGGAGAAATATTTCTGCCGATGTTGCCAAACGCCATAGCGTAGCCCAACAGAAGCAATGAAAGGATTTAATTACGGCATACCCTAAGCTCGTAACGTCGGCAGTGCGGTGACTCAATTTTCGGAGCAAACGAAAGCGCTGGATTGGTTAGCTACGCCGACGTTGAGCCTGTCCAGATAATTACTAGGCCAAGAAGGATTTGGACTGGTACCACACACTTGTTCCAAGATACCCCACGTCCGGCCGTAGTCTTGCTAACAAGTGGCACTTGCAATTATATTTGATTCAGGCGGCCCATTCCTGTTTTGATGCGTTTCGTTAGTTTCTTTCTCACCGCATGACTTCCCCTCTGATAAGCTTCTTTTTTCGTCCCAAAAAGTTGCTTGAAAAACGGTGACGACATTGTCTCACCTCTTACACGAAAAATCTCTATAATTCAAAAAGGTGACAGAAAGTGATTCCCTCAGGTGTCAAAACCTTGTGCGTCAGTGAGGCTTTCCTTGTGAAAGAGCAATCGTTTGTTTTTGGGTATATTCTCCCGGAAAGAAGTGTTTTTACACCAAGGAGTTGGCAGCAGATCTTCCCTGTGTTTTTCATTGCCTATGTAAGTTAACACTTAATTGTCCCAAATCGAGCTGGATGTATTATTATGTACTTGCACGGTGGATCAGACTAGTTCTCCTTCAAGTTAGGGCTACTTTTCAGTTAGTGGTGCTTACTTGGGATGGGAAACGCTGTACTTCATAAATGTGTTATTATCCGAGGGACTGGCAAGCCCAAATCCCAGGATAAACACTTGGTATACGTTTCAACAGATTGGGCGTTCAAAGCATTGTCTGAATCATAGCAACGTGTGTAGCCGAACGAATGACAGCTGAGACTCAAAGTTCCATTCATCATATTCGCAACGTAAAATGATCAATAGGTTAATGAAAGCTGGACAAACAAACGCTTTCAGGGAGAATACAGCTGGTCCGTAACTATTCAATATATTTACACGTGTTGGGGTCGTTCGGAAGCTTGTTTCCCAAAGTGGTTTCTGTAACGACGAGCTCAAGGGCAATGAAACTGAGTTCAACGAGCTTTTGGGGATGGAATATGATCAGACGCCACACAACTGAAAGAACATGCCACATTCAGATTCGGCACGAAAAAGTGGAGAGATGAGAGACTAAATAGGCCGCAATGGCTATCCCGTGTGTGCTGATTCTGGTTTTTGCAAAATCACAGGGGGTTCGTCTTCTTGTCCACATTCAACACGAATGAAATCTTCCAGAATCATATCATTTCGAGTCAGATGTTCACCGACTCTAATGTTCTCATCCAGAAAGAATGGCTGTAGGAGCAAGCATTGTTCTTCTTCTGGGTCTTCCGCTGGTTCGGTGATTTCCAACCCTGGTCGCGGATTCATACCAACAATGTGCTGACAAAGCTGTTCGCCGAGCCGTGAAGCACGTTCTTGCCAAGCTGGGGATGCCGGCTAAAGTGAGGACTTCAACAGTTAGATTTTAGTTAAGAATCGGTCAAGCAAGGTACAAACTATAAAACCAACGGACAGAGCGTATAAGTTACAAGGGCTGGTCACATGAACAACACGTGCTCACAACTAGTTTGCAAAATCAATTGATTACACTGCGAAGAACAAACATAACTACTTGTTCTATACACTGAGAAAGGTGATATTTGGAGACAAGTCAAGTCACTTCTGATCTCACAAAATAGCAAGATAATATCACAATTACAGCAGCTAGAAGAGTGAACAAGAACTCAGGGAAAAAAGCACACAAACTATTCGTAGTAGGCCAAGTAGACCAGACTAAGCATGACTCCTGAACACGGCGAAATATCCGGAGATATATCCGTTCGAGCAGAAGTTTTCACAGTTTGCGATTTTTCATAGGTAGCTTATCTCACTACCACATTTTTTCAAGCAGTTCTTTCGTTTTGCCTGTAGAGGGAGTTGGTTTACTAGATCAAGGTAAGGTCGTTTGATATCATGAATAGGCTTAATGTCACCACTGGTTGCCGGTCAATCACAGATCCCATCGATGGGCGCAGTAACAGCGAGCACATTTTACCATACCGCCAACGACCACTAATGGGTGACCGAACGAGAGGAATGGATCCTCAGGATACTGTGCGCAATATCGACAGAAACGGGTTACTGAGAGCTTCCCCATACTATTCACTTTCACTGAATGATTGTAGTATATTGTCAACAACAAAATGGCGCTCGTTTTTCTTGGTTTGATAATGCAAACAGTAGCGACGGGTTGGCGGAGTCATACATGAAAATGCCCTCCTACTTGCCAAGTTTACGCCTTCTCTGTTCACTGAGATGCACTTGCGGATTTTGTGTACTGTTTCCACAAGTGCCGTTTTTTTCTGCCAAAAGTCCTGAGTCGCAGTTATCGGCAGTTTAATTACAGACCATTGATAAGTCCCATTATTAACCGTGGTACGAGGTTATCCTCCAGGAAAGAGGGTCTCGTTGCTAAGCTTCACAGGAACATAGATGAAGGAGCATGGTATACTGCTAGTTGGATTGTGCTGACCAGTATCCGGAACTTTGTTCCAAACTTATCCGAACTGTTCAGTATGAAGCACGACTTCAAGAGTCTGAGTAATTCGTCAGCAGTCAAATGGAAGTGAGACAAATAGGTAGCTCGGTGGTCGAGTGTGGAAAACTCAGGTTTGAAACGGATCCACTGACTCACTAGGTAAGTGTCTATTCGTACCATCGAACCGCAGGTATCTCTCGATCACGACAAACTGAGACCTTAGCGTCACTCTGCCGAACACTTGTGCACAAAAATCGCCCTTCTAAAAAAAGGAGCGGTGTGACACTTCCCGTAAAGCCTACCCAGTGTAGTCCATTGAACGTCACGAATTCATTTAGTGGCAATAAACTGCAATATAGAGAGTAAAATAATGTTATCAATGGATGTACCCTGGATGCATCCAAAGGAGTACGTATTATATTGACCTTTCCAGGCCAGGACGGATCTGAGAACTTCTCTTCTCGGATATCTGACCGATCGCTGTGCTTGGAATTCCTCCATTCAAGCGCAATCAATCATCGCTGCGGTTACCTGGATAACTGTATTGTTTTAAACTATTCATCTGGCGGCCCCGTGTAGATCATAAAAGTGAAAGGCCGACGTGGGCTGTCGACGAATTTTCAGCAACCTTATGAGTGGCACACTACAACGATATAAATGTATCGCGATATCTCGAATATCGGAGTGGCTGAAACATGAGGTGGCCTGGTGCAGTACATTCAGTTGCCTGAGAACACCACAAACCAGAGATTCAGCTGGGTTCCAGGTGTCTCTCGAAAAACCAAATTAGTTTGCAAATGAGTGTATATTCGCTACAGTAAAACTTCTCCATGAGACACGCTGGAACTGGCTAAACTGTCCTTGAGTAAGGAGTGAGGCTTTCAGAGAAGTTCCGTGGGTAATAATACGCGAAAATATACATACCTTACTCATCTTATGCATACCTACACGTAAAGGAAACACGGGTGAATGTGACGTAGTCAACAAGTCCAGAAGTCTCCTGAGGTTACCACTAATTTGTGGCAAAACTTCGATAAAAACGCAGTCGATTTGCATGAAGTTCGATATATGTGCAAAACCATTCACCTACTTGATTGCCTGCCGGACGATAGCGTACAACGGCGGCGTATTTCCCGAACTTTACATCTCGAATACTCGGACGAATACCAGCAGTACTAATGTGAATGTAGGAGGCAAGACGACTGGCACAGTCTGGTATGTCCGACGTGCGAAGCCCAACGGCGCGCCTGATAGCCATGTTTTCGCCAATTGCCCCGATAGCGACAGCCATGTTGTCACTTACCGTACCCGCTGAGTTGGGAATTGTTAATGCCATCAGTTCATCGGAATTCCATATGGATTTTCCATTGTTCCCCTACAACGAATAACAAAAACAGACGGACTGGTATTCCCCCGACAGGCTTTCCTTACAAAGGTAGCATATAAAAAACCAATTCGGCTTGATATTTTACCGTCTGATTTGTGAAACAAAGGCGTAAGCACCTAGGTGGAGGCTAACAAAACCTGCTACGTTTGGAAGAGCTGTCTCAAGAAGCAAGTTGCGGTATTTAGGGTTATGGGGAAGAAAATACATTGGATCTAATTCTTAGTAGCATGTACCCGGATTCGCAATGGTACAATGAAGAGCTCTTGACAAAGTAGCTACTTAACAGACCCCAATGTTATCAATGTTTGAAAGTAATCCCGGAAGTAGATTACCAGAGCTGTTAGTTGTACAAGAGGTAAAAATTTAATGGTTCACTTGTAACAACCCTTCGGTGCCTAGCTGTCAGGCCACCCAAGGGAAGCACGAGGGCTGGGATACTGCCAGGTTGTCCAAGCCTAGACAGGAGAAGTCGAGAGGCAGAGGTCGGGTTTGAACAATGGACCTTCCAGTCAGTAAATTCGCGCCCTAACCAGTGAGGCAAGCTAAAGCATTAAATGTTTCGATCGTCGTCCTTTCTAAGCTCACCTCCCGGGACTTCCCACGACATTATTTCGAGAGGCATCGGGTTTGAACAATGGACCTTCCAGTCAGTAAATTCGCGCCCTAACCAGTGAGGCAAGCTAAAGCATTAAATGTTTCGATCGATCGTCTTTCTAAGCTCACCTCCCGGGACTTCCCACGACATTATTCGCCAAAACGTTCACATAGGCTGCCGAACCCCCCGCAACCAAGCTGAAATGAA